GCGCTTGGGAAAAGTATAAGAAATTCCAACGCAAGGCCATTCTTCAGTGAGTTGCAAGCAAGTCTCCAGCGAGAGCGCGACTCCAGAGCGTCGGGAGAGCGATTCCTGAGTAAATTGTAAGGAATCCCCAGCGAGAGCGCGACTCCTGAATAAAATGCGAAGAAGTCTCGGGCGGGAGCGGGGGTCCTGGCTAAATTGTAAGGAAATCGCAGGCGGGAGCCGTTGTTGTTGTAACCCGGGGGCCAAGGGCCCAGTTTGAGCAGGAAGATTTTCACTATCAAAAAACAAGGTGCGAGCGTCGAGGGGCACACTTTGATAGAGAAAAAACAGAATGCACCGGTGGGGGGGAGCAACAATAATTATTCTTCAGAAATGAAAATTCAACGGCTCCCGCCTTAGACTTCCTCACAATTTAGTCAGGACCCTCGCTCCCGCCCGAGACTTCCTCGCATTTTATTCAGGAATCGCGCTCTCGCTAAGGATTTCCTAACAATTTATACCAGAATCGCTCTCCCAGCGCTCTGGAGTCGCGCTCTCGCCAGGGACTTGCTGGCAATTCGCTGAATAACAGCACCCTTGCGTTGGAATTTCTTGCAATTTATTCAAACGCCGCGCTCCCGACACCCAAGCACCCAGGAGTCGCGCTCACGCAAAAGACTCCCTCACAAATTACGTAGGAATCGGGATCTCGCTGCCCTTCGTGGCCCCGTTGCAGCCCTTCGTGGCCCCCTCGCTTTGCTCTCGCTTTGTGTCGTGGCCCCGTTGCAGCCCTTCGTGGCCCCGTTGCAGCCCTTCGTGGCCCCCTCGCTTTGTGGCATGGCCCCGTTGCAGCCCTTCGTGGCCCCCTCGCTGCCCTCAGTGGCCCCGTTGCATCCCTTCGTGGCCCTCTCGCTGCTCTTCGTGGCCCCATACATGTATGCCCTTCGTGGCCACCGCTCGTTCGCGCCCGTGGTGGCCCCATATGCATGTCCTTCGTGGCCCCGCTGTCGCCCATCGTGGCCCCCTCGCTGCCCTTCGTGGCCCCGTTGCTGCCCTCAGTGGCCCCGTTGATGCCCTCAGTGGCCCCGTCCTTGCCCTCCGCGGCCCAGTATACGTATGCCCTTCGTGGCCCCCGCTCGTTCGCGCCCGTTGTGGCCCCATGTGCATGCCCTTCGTGGCCCCGCTGTCGCCCTTCGTGGCCCCCTCACTGTCCTACGTGGCCCAATTGCTACCGTCAGTGGCCCCATCGTTGCCTTCTGTGGCTCCGCATTATCTGCACTTCGTGGCCCCCGCTCGTTCGCGCTCTTCGTGGCCCCATACGCAGTCCCTTCGTGTCCCCGCTGTCGCTCTTCGTGGCCTACTTCGTGTCCTTGTGGCCCTGCACTCGTTCTCTCTCGCTCTCGCTTTCGCTCGTCGTCGTCGTCGCCGTCGTCGTCGTCGTCGCCGTCGTCGTCGACGACGTCGTCGTCGTCGTCGTGGTCGGTCCCCTGTCCGTCCCTCTTGGGGTCGGGTCGACGGTCCGCGGCCGCCCCGCCGATCAGCGCTGCCGCTGGCCAGGCCGACGGTCCGCGGCCGCCCCGCCGCTTGCCGGGGCCCGGCCTGCAGGGAAGCAAGGTATACCCCCCAAAAAGGTTTCGATCGAAGACGAAGAGGGCGGTTATCGCGGGTTTGGCAAATACGCGTTATTGGACACTCGAGCAGATAGGGGCGAACAATCTCAAAATGATTGTTGTTGCTGTTGCCGTCCCACCCGCGACCCACCCGCGACTCACTCCGCGACCCACCCCGCGACCCACCCCGCGACCCCCCCCGCGACCCACGCCGCGACCCACCCGCGACCCAACCCGCGACCCACCCAGCGACCCACTCCCCGACCCACCCGTGACCCACCCGCGACCCACCCGCGACCCACTCCGCGACCCACCCGTGACCCACCCGCGACTCACCCCGCGACCCATCCGCGACCCACCCGCGACCCGCCCCGCGTTCCCCCCCGCCCCGCGACCCACCTGCGACCCACTCTCAAGGAAGGAAAAAACACCCGGCCCCACAATGAACGTGTTTTAAAACGGCCCTGGGCGTTGACTAAACATCCCTGCCCTGTTCGAGTCATTCCTTGTGTGCGTTTAATACATGGCTTCGCATGTAGAGGTGATTATGATGGGGTGGATATTCTGCCCACTACACCCGCGACCCACCCGCGACCCATTTGCGATCCACCCGCGATCCATTTGCGACCCACCCACGACCGACCCACATTGGTCTTACGAAAAGATCGGCGCCTGCGGCTGGCTCGTTGTAATTTGTGAAACTTTGGCGCCTGCGGCGGGCTTCTCCAGAGTCCCGCAAACTGCCGACGTCCCCACCGCCCCCTCACTCTGATCCGCATCTGCGGAATGCTACGGTTACGCTCTTTCAACAGGCACGGGGCGGCGGTGATTCGCCGCAGGCGTCTTCGAGCCGCCGCCCCCTGTGGCTTGCAACAGGAATGCACGGCGTGTCAGATGTTTGAAAGGTTCTGGCTCATTCTAAACAAGTCCCCACAAGGGTCTCGGCCCACTGTTCTGAAATATTCTAGCTCTGCAAAGGAATTCCTACAGGAAGGTCGCGGCCGATCACACCAGCCACCTGGAAGGACCCATGACACGTGCCTCCCGTCGGCTCTCCAGCCCCGGGAAGATCCGCAACCTTCCGAGGCTGTCGGCCTCCCCGCTCCACACGGCACCAGTGGATGGCCTCCGCGAGGCCTCCGAGAGGCCCCCGGATGCTACCCGAGAGAAGCCAAGGCGGCTCCAGCCCGCCTCTCGTCCACGACCGTCCAAGGCACGGTGGCAGCATCGGCCGGCGACCGCTGGCTCCGCCGCCCCCTGCGGACGTCCACTCCATGTGTTTTTTGTTCGGTGTCGTGCGTGGTTTCTTCGCCAAGTGATGAAAGATGCTCCTCGACGATGGTCCTCGCCGGAGGAAACATGCACACGTCCGAGCGATGGCAAGTGAAAGGCCCTGGCTCTTTCGACAGGTTCCCACGGGGTTCTCGGCCGACTGCTTCGAAACATTATGGCGCACATTCTATGGCCGATTGCGCCGGCCGCCCGGAAAGACCCGTGGAAAAAATGTCGCCCGTCGGTTCCCCCACCCCCCGTATAGGACCCGTGAACTTCCCGGGTCGTCGGTGCTCCTGCCCCGCGCGGCACCTGGATGGCCTCCAAGACGGCCGGGAAGTCCTCCAGACGGCCCAAGAGGCCCCCAAGAGGCCCCCAAACAGGCCTCCAAGATGGCCTCCAGGAGGATAGAATCATTGACGTCCCTTAGGTTGTTGTTGCATGATTCTAGCGTTCTCGCCTTTTCGGGCTCCCGAAGTTCCATGATTGCGGTCTCTGGCCATCGACACGTTATGATTCGTACTGCTTTCCGTTGCTCGCTTGGTTGCTAACTTCTGGGTCGTCGATGACTCAAATATGTCCACGTGGGCTTGTCGCCGATTGCTAAACATGGTCTGCGATGCTTTTGACCTCCGCCCCACCAGTTCGGAGCCTGCGCGATCCGCACCCAAAAAACGCGGCGCACCCTGCTGATCCAGGGCCCTGACCATACGCCGCTCTTTCCGATCGGCCGACGGATCGGCCAGATCGGTCGCCTGACCCAGCCCCCCGACGTCACGATTTGTGTCACAACGTCGACCCCCCGAGGTCTCGACGCATTCCCCGGGACCCGTTTCGCATCCCGGGCTCTTCCTGGACGGCTCAGAGGCCCGGCCGACAAGGGCCCCCAGAGAGGCCGAAGTGGCGAAAAACCTCCCGTCGTGACTTGCTCATGACTCGAGGGGCTTTTGGGGATCGAGCCTTGGCCGACAGACCGAGACAGTCGGATGGCGGCCGAGCAGCAGCGGGGCGCGCGGGGGCACGGAAGGCACGGCAGAGGAGGCGCGTCGGGGCGCTGGGGAGACGGCAGCGGCGCCGGAGGGGAGGGCAGCCGCACTCTGTGCGCGCGCCGAAGTGCACGGCACGCGACGGACCAGGGCAAGTCTCTCGACTTTTCCACGCGCCGCTGCCCTGGAGGCACCTCCCAGCCCGCCGCGGCGGCACCGGGCCTGGCTGGGGGAGAAGCAGCGGCCCAGCCGGAGCCGAGTCTGAAGTGCCCCAGCCGGGGCCGTCGGGGAAGCGTGCCGTGCCACATTCCCAGACCCCCTCGAGTCATGAGCAAATCACGGCGGGAGGTTGTTCCCCATTTTCGGCCCCTGGGGGGCCCTTACCGGGTCTCAGACCGTCCAAAAACGACTCAGGATGACAAACCGGTCCCGGGGAATGGGTCGAGACATCTGGGGGTCGACGTTTTGAACACACATCCTGGCGTTGGCGGTCTGGGTTGGAAGACGGAGGAGGGAGCAGTGAGGGAAGCGCGAAGGGGCGGGCCTTCTCTGAAGGCTCGAAGTCCCCTCGGCCTTCTGAGAGGCTTCCTACGCCTTCTCCGAAGACGCAAATAACTTGTCAGAAGGCGCGAGGGCTTCTTTGAAGCCCCGCCGCGCCGCCATCTGAGAGGGCATCCTCCTTCTCACTTCCCCCCCCCCTCGCTTGCCGCTGGAGCAGAACCTTGGCCTACCTGCGGGCTGACTTTTGGGGTGAGCTTGGGGTCGTCCTGGGCCCGCCCTGCTGCCATGCAGGAGTCCACGGAACCGAGAGCGCGCCGCACGATGCTCATGACGCCCAAGACCCCAAACAGGGCGGAACAGGAAAGCCGGACTTGAACTGGATGTGAAAGGGGAAAAATATGAATGCGGCAGTCTACATGGGAGCTGAACGACTCATAGTTAGTTGGCGGCGCGCACCGGGGATGTAGGGGGAGGGGGGAAGGCTTCTTAGAAGGAGGCTGTTTCTTAGGAGGCGCTGGTCCTTATATAGATATAGGTATGTGTATACATATAAGGCCCGCGCCTTCTAAGAAGCAGCCTCCTCCTAAGAAGCCTTCCCCCCTCCCCCTGCCCCCCTCTGCGCGTGGCTGAATTAGGACTAAACCCACATCTC